CCCCCCCCGCCCCCTCTCTCTCTCTCTCTCTCTCATCTCCCCGTTTTCGGTTCGATGCGTCCACAATCACTGGCTGTATCGCGTCTTTGCTTGTGCGGTTGGTCGTTTTCCTCTCTCTTTCCCTCTCTCTCTCTCTCTCAGTATTCGCGCGGAAGGCGGAGGCGGGGGGGGGGCTGGCTCGGCGGCGCGGAGGGGGGCAGGGGGTGCCCGGCAAAGCGGTATCGTTTCCCAGGTGCGTGAATTGCAAATGACGGTGCTGGCATGGCAATTATTGGTGTACCCTTCTTGAAACGGGTACAACATCCCCCAACGTTTGTCGATTCCCTTTTTCTACTGTAGATGTGCAACAATCGGGAAGGTAAGGACAATGACTCTCTAGCGTTCTCGTTGGTCTTGGGTTTGTGGTTTGTTTTTGTGGTTGGCATTGGGCTTTGTTGGGGTTGGGGTTGTGTTCTTCTGGCTGGCACGGTTCACCTGAGCCAGGCTGGGAGGTACTAGCAGTAAAATAGCCTGTGAGCTGGACGGGGTTGGTTCGGCTAGGTGCCGTTTGGCTGGGTCTGGAGTTTGGTACCAAGCACCACGTGACGCGTGGAAGACGCCCAGAGACGGATATCAGAGGTACCCAAATCGCTTGGGTACTTGATTTGGTGGTGCTTATTTTGAACACGCTTCTGGCAGAGTCGCGCACGAAGCGGCTGTGTGTCTCAGGTGGAATCGCTTCGATTGGCTAGAACGTCAATGTTTGTGTTGTTGTGAAGAAGTTGTGTTTTTGCTCGTCGGCGATATGCATACACGTCGATGGTAGACACCCCATCTCTGATTTCGTGCTAGGGACGACCCAAATGGTGTACATTTATTTATCGAGACAAACTCGTGAAAATTTCCTCGATGATATGCCAACAAAGAGAGACGTGTTACTTTACATTTTCGCGTATGTGTATGCTTCGACCTATGGATGTCACCTTTTGTAGTTTTTTTTTTTTTTGCTTCATCTCGTTTCCTTGTTGCACGCAAACTCAAATATCAACGATGTCAACAACAGTCTGTCGGGGCTCAGTTCAAGAACCAGCTCAACAGCCTGCTCGGGGCCATCGGGGAGACCCACCCGCACTACGTGCGCTGCCTCAAGCCAAACGACGAGAACGTGCGATCGCAGTTCGACCTCGGAAGGATCACGGCTCAGCTGGCGAACGGAGGTGCAACATGAGTCATTATTTGTTGTTGCTCTTGCTCTTGTTGTCGTTGTCGTTGTCGTTGTCGTTGTCGTTGTAGGGGCATTTGCGGTGTTTTCGTTCAGTGCACTTTCTTCACGGGCACTACCAACCATCACCGTTTTTCCCTCTAGGCGTGTGCCCCCCCCTCGCGCACTCGATCAATGCCATCCATGCCCGCATCATTTTTTGTTTGTAAATACGTTTGACCCTACGCACACTTATCTGCACTCCGCTCCGCGATTGAGAGGGCACCCCCCCTCAATACCATATCGACGAACCTCCCATCCGTTTTCCCAGGTGTGCTGGCGGCGGTGCACGTGGCTCGGGCCGGCTTCCCCGTCCGCATGCAGCACCTGGAGTTCGTAAATAGATACGGTCTTCTCGCCGTGAACATCCTCCAGGAGGCGTGGGCGGAGGCGAAGAAGGAGTTCCCTGATATGGTCAGAGAACAAGAGCGGGCTGTCGCCAGGTGAGATGCGTTTGTGTAGGTGCTGCGGGTGTTGTTTGTCGGTGTCTCGTGCTTGTGGGGGGGTGTGCGTCTTTCTTGTTGTTGGCATCGACCGACGTTGATCCCGGTGCGGCTGAAAACAGAAAATTCTTCGAAAGGCGATGTGTGTCGTGTTTCTGTGGTTGGCATCGGCCCATGCTCACCGTGTACAGCAACAAGGCGGGCTGGCGCGGAGGAGGGTGCCGACAGCTTATCCTCTGTCTGGCTCTGTTTCCTTGGCCGTGACCCCCGGCCTCTCCCAAACATCAAATATCTCAACCCATTCCTCTCTTGTCACCACCACCATCACCAGGCCCAACCCTACCCCCCCCCCCCCCCCCCCCCCCCCCCCCCCCCCCCCCCCCCCCCCCCCCCCGGCCCCCAACCTATCTCAACCTCGATGTCTCAACCCACCCGTCTCTCATCACATCACAACCGTCTCTAATCCCAACAACCCTAGACGGCTCCCCCCCAAAAAACAAGTGCAACGAAACGGCGTTTCTAAATACCCCACCAGCTTTATCTCGCCCCACAAGGCATCAATCGACGAAGGATGTGTTGCTGTGTTGTGGGGCTATGGTGGGACCCATCGTACCGCCGAAACGGTTCAGATTTGGTGCAGCCACAGCTGCCGGAGGAAATTTAGCAGCTGCCCCAAGCTCCCGCGCTGGTGGGGTACACCCTCCAGGAGAAAGAAGCGCAGCTTTCAGTGATTTTGGGTACCTGTGGAGCACCTTTGCGCTGACCTGTGCTCTTATCCCACCGGTGTGGGATTTGGACGCGCCGAGAACGAAAAGGACCACCGCCACCAACACCAACAACAACAACAACCCTACACAACATCCCCCCCCCCCCNNNCCCCCCCCCCCAAATATACATATATATATATGAATAGGGAGATTCTGTTCGAGGTGGTGCCGATGCTGAGCAAGAACTCGGTGTCGAAGAAGGACATGACCCAGTCCAAGAACACCGCTGGGGTGAGACTCGCTGGCAAGCTGTCGGGGGTGGCCCAGCAGGCTAGCTTCCGAGACCTGTGCGGGCAGGGTGGGGTGCAGATCGGCAACACCAAGGTGTTCTTCCGACAGGTGAGCGTGCTGGCTATTTGTAGCTGTGGCCACGATATAGGTAGCCGTTTTTCGGGCTGGTTCTTGCGGCATGTGGATTAGGTAGGCCTGATACGTACGCATCCTTTTTTCGAGCTGCGCTGGTTCTGGGATGTGAAGATAGGTATGCATAGGATACGACGGCAGCGTTTCTGGGATGAGTAAGGTAAATAGGTAGGATGCGTATCCTTGCAAGCAAGGCCTTGCAGGTGCTGTGGATGACACGTGTATATTGTACCAGGAACCCTTTACGAAGGGTATCTCCACACGACCCTGTGATTTATGTGTACGTACGAATTTTGTCTCCGACATGTTGACGTTTTTTTTTTTCGTCTTCGTTCGTCTTCCCTTCCTTGTCTTGCGGCGCAGATGGCGTTCAACCGCGCAGAGAAGGCGAGGACTTTGAGGCTCTCGGAAGCGTGCGTGACGATACAGACGGCCTTCCGGCGACACATGATGGAGCAAGACTACAAGGCAAGACATGTACAGATTGGCGCCGTTGTTTGTTGTTGGTAGAGTAAGACTACAAAGTAAGGCTGCTGTATAGATTATCCAGGTTTTTCAGTTGTTGAAATTGTGGGTTCGTTGAGATCTGCTGGACTGTTCGGGTGAAAAACACGTCAGCTGTGAGGGCTATTCGAGCTTGGGAAACGTCACCGATGGCAGCTATTGCACCTGTTTCACACCCACCAATAATATTATTTTCTTTCATCTTGCATCACGCCTTGATGACACGACTATTTCGATGCTCTGATGAGCCCACTCCGGAGGCGCGCCTTGTAGGCTCCCGGTGCAGATTCCTAGAAAAGACTAAAAGACGAAGGGCACTCTCGTGGTACTGGTAGGTGTGTGTGCGGACACTTGCCCCCCCTCGCCACTCACTCACTCTGTTGCGACTTTAGCCAATGCTGGGGTGTGTGTAGTCGACTCCCACTCACTCTCTTGCTCCCCCTCCCCCCCCCATCTCTCTCTCTCTCCTGTTGCCTCTTTTGGGATTGGGCTGGACGGCCGACCAGACGATGAGGATGGGGACGGTGGCCTTGCAGGCCCAGGTGCGGGGCCACCAGGCGAGACTAAAGGTGCTGGCGGTTCGCTACCTCAACGCCTGCCTCATGGCTCAGAGGGTCGTGAGGGGCTTCGTCAAGCGAACTCAGGTACTGCCGGTAGTTGTTGTAGTAGCAGTACTGTAGGAATGGTAGTACTTCGTAAATAGTAGCAGAAGCAGCAGCAGTACAGTAGCAGCAGTAGGAATGGTAATACTTGTAGTTGTGAATGGTAGAAGTAGTGGTAGAAGTGGAGTAGTAGAGTTGGGGGTCATCCTACTAACATTACCCGGACACGAACGCGGAGATGGATACCTTACGTTTCCATGTTGAACCCCCCCCCTCCCCCCCTCGATATCCCGTGCCCCCCTCTGCGAACCCCACCAAACCTGCAACAGTACAAGCGAACCAAGGATGCGGCGTTGAAGGTGCAGTCGTGGGGGAGGATGTCGGTGGTTCGGAGAAGCTACCAGAAGGACCGCTCGAGGGCAATCACGGTGCAGTGCCTGGCGAGGACGAGGTCGGCCAAGTCAGAGCTGCGGAAACGTAAAAAGGAGAAGGAGAACGTGGATGCCTTGCAGGCCAAGATCAAGGCGTACGAGGTGTGTGTGCGTGAAGGATATCATGCGCGCGTTTTTTTTTGTTTTTTTCTCCTCTTTCGTACTTTTTTTTTTTTCTTCTATCTCCTGTTCTTACTCGTTTTTTATTTTTGCTCCTTTCCTGTTGCGCTTCTTCCTTATGGTGTGGTCGAGGTGGGAAACGTAGACGCGTGTGTACACATGGCTGTGTGTTTGGTCTTGTCAGTTGCTGTACTCGTTTTGGCATCCCCAGGGCGAGCCCGGATTTTCCCTGGCATGTTGATCGCAACCGACAAGAACAGAGAAAAGTGGTGCTTGCGTTATTTTTTGCCACCACCACTAGTCCTCGCACTAACTTCACACCGTCGGACGCACAACGGCTCCAGTTTTCTACCAATTCTTGTGCTTCTCGCTCTTGTGTTTTGTGTTTTCTTGTCTTTTTTGTTTTTTTCAGCAAGCGGCGAAGGCGAGGGAGGCGGAGTTACGGCGGGAGCAGGAGGCGGCTATCGCTCGGATCAAGGCGGAAGCGGAGGCGACGGCCAGGGCGGAGATGCGGGAGAAGGCGCGGCTGGAGGAGGAGCGGAGGGGACGAGTCGAGCACGAGGCGAAAGTCAGGGCTCAGGTG